GGGGACGCAGAACATGACAGTTACTTTCTAAATGTAGAAAAATAAAGATCATGCCGAGGCGCTGAGAATATTTCATTAAACCAAAATATAGATTGTTCATTTAAAATGTTCATAGCTATTTGCTTTTGTAGTTCTCATGTAGTAAACTTTATACTATTACACACTTTAATTACGTCATTAGAAAAATAACAGATCCTTCTAATGTACCTTGCTCATGAGGCACCTTCAGGTGTGATCACATCACTCTGGTGCTACCATCTCTTCACTGGATTCCAGCTGCTTTTCGATTCTCGTGCTGACATACAAATCTTTAAACATGTTAGCACTGTCATACCTCTCGGACCTTCTCTTGCCATACTATTCACCACGCCTGTGGAGGTCAGATGACCTCCAGCAGTTGGTTGATCTGAGGGCAAGATTGATTTGGAGAGGTGATAGGTCTTTAGCTGTGGCTGTTCCTATATATGGAATCAGCTGCCTGTCAATATTAGACAGGACTCATCGCTTAAAACTGCTCTCCTTCCACTGCTATGCAGACGACACCCAGCTCTATTTGTCATTTCCACCAGACGACCACACTGTCTCTGCACGAATATCAAACTGTCTCTCTGACATTTCAAAATGGATGAAATCCCACCATCTCCAACTCAACCTCCCTAAAACTGAACTACTTGTCATCCCAGCAAAAACCATCCATACAGCACAATATCTCAATCCAATTCCCATCTCTGGCCCCTTCAAAGGCAGTTCGAAATCTGGGTGTTGTGATTGATGAACACCTGACCTTTAAAGATCATGTTGCCTCTGTTGCTTGTTCATTCCGCTTTGCGCTGTATAACATACGAAAGATCAGACCATACTTAACACAACATGCCACCCAGCTCCTGGTGCAATCTACTGTCATCTCCCGCCTCGATTACTGCAATGCCCTTCTAACTGGTCTTCCAGGCTGAACTGTGAGACCTCTTCAAATGGTTCAGAACGCAGCAGCGCGTCTGGTCTTCAATCAGCCAAAAAGAGCACACATCACCCCTCTGTTCATTGAGCTCCGCTGGCTACCGCTAGCAGCACGCATCAAATTCAAATAGCTAACACTAGCATACAAAGTCCGAGACGGTACGGCTCCCATCTACCTGAATCCTCTTGCAAAGGCTTACGTCTCGGCCCGGCCGCTCCGGTCATCACAGGATCGTCGGCTAGCAGTGCCTACACCACGCTCAGGACAATCCAGACTCTTCTCATGCATCGCTCCACAAATGTGGAATTAAATTCCAAGCACTACCAGAACAGCGGCTTCCTTTTCAATTTTCAAGAAACTCCTGAAGACCCTGCTCTTCAGAGAGCGTCTTCTAAACTAGCACCCTCCCTGCACCCGTCCCCCCTCTCTACTGTTCACTCCTTGTTCCCTCCTCTCCATGATTGATGTCAAGTTGTTGTTATTGTTGTTGTTAGCCTCAAGGGCAATATGCCGATTATCACTTGTAAGTCGCTTTGGACAAAAGCGTCTGCTAAATACATAAACATAAGCATAAAACTGTTCTAAAGACACACTTCTACTCGCTAGCGTTGATTGCTGGACATCCACTCTTTTACCGCTAATACACTCATTTTTGTTTTAGGTTGTAATGTGTTTTTTGTATGTTTTTCAGTGTTCTATCTGTATTTATTTGAAGTTGTGATGTGTCTTATTGTTGGTATGTTTTCAGTTTTTTATCTATGCTTTTTATTTTCACTGCACAGAACTTTGGTCGACAGAGTTGTGTAGAAAGTGCCATAGCAATGAAAGTGAATTGGATTGGTTTGTTATTTCTTGGATAACATCAGCAAGACATTTCACAAAGAAGTGCTTACCAACCACCATATAATGGCAGTTTTAAAGCAAGATCTTGTGTCTTCAAAAGCTTATAAACAAACTGTGCAATTTTATGCTATTTCAAAATCAGTTAGCTCTTGGAGTATGTGTTGTGAATGACTCGCAGATAAAGATGACCACATGAAGTTTTGGTCTTAGTAATTTATTTGTTTGCTTAGGTTGATTAACCCAGGTGGTTGTCTTGAGTCAGGTTGTCTCCAAAATGTAATCAGTTGTAGCTGCATGTGTAATGACTGCTTTCTGAAAGTTTCATTAAAATCTGTCCTGCGGTTCATGAGATATTTAGAAAACCCGCCTTTCGGGGTGGCTGACAATAATTTTGCTGAATAATTTATTGAGCCGAGAACAAAAACAGACAAATTATTTTTGTGTTTCTCTCTTAAATCAGTAGTCACAGCAAATAAAAGGCAGAATAATATCAAACCCCTGACCTCTGATCCCTTATGGAGTAATCGCTGAGACGAGGGTAGTGTGAGAGCTGATAAACACATCAATGCGGCTGAGCCGTGGCTGCAGTAACACTTGTGTAAGCTTCGCTACTGAGAGCAAATAATGTGATCTCGTCACATTGTGGACAAGCCACTTGTAGTGTGCTGAGTGTGAACAGTTCGCTCTGTCAGCTCCTCT